AAAAAAAGAATATTGAATATACTATGGACTACCAGAACAAACAGTCAGATGCTCTTCAGAAGAGAGAATGGGTAGACTTTGTCTCAAGCGCTATGGTGAACCAGTCCCTGGGGTGGAACATCATGGTTGGTAAAGTGACATAAAAGAGGAAGACTCTAGATGAGATGGATTGGCATAGTGGCGGCAATCACGGGCTCAAATGTCATGATAAGTGTGAGGACGGCGCATGATGCAGCAGCTTTGTTCTGTTGTGCACAGGGTCGCAACGCGGTGGAGCCTATAAGACAGTACTGAACAGCAAGATAGGAACCCCCATTGTAACACAAAATGCTCTCCATTTTCATTCTCTCTTCCTTCCCTTAAATCTCTAATTTCTAAAGAAAATAACTTAAAGTCAAAAATGTTTGTAAGAGCCTGTTACTGATAGTAGTCGTACTTTTCATATGAACGCGTTGAGGAAAAGCCACCTGTCTCTGTTACTTGGCCTATCACGACGAGCTGAGAACACTCACAACCCAATACCTTGTCCTGCACTGACCAAGATGCAGAAGCTTGGTGTCTTTTGCTCTCCCCAAAGTTCTGAGTGTCATGCAGGGCACTGTCTAGGTTAACGAGCTAGGAATACACTCGATATTACTTGAGAACTTTAAAACATGCTGTGGTATACAGTGATAGAAGGGTTACTACACATTTTTCTTTGTCACAATACAAAAAGTATCATGAGAGAGTCATATGGCAAATGGCTGAAATTCCAAGGTTAGTCAGGCTGTCTCTGCTAACCCTCCGCATGGACAGTAAGCATTTGCTTATCCTCAGCCCTACTGCCTTTCCCTGACCAGGAAAACCCACCAATGTTGACATTCACTGTGGCACACATACTGGATTAGACAATTTGCATGCATGCATTTGTATTGATGATCTACCTTTATTATTCAATCAGTTCACTGGCTTGATTCTCACTTTGCCCAGTACTGCTTTAGTACGGGAAGAAAGCCACTTCAAAGAAGGGGACAATGAAGGCACACTGACTGTCAATCCACACCCAGACAGACAGAAACATTCTCACACATCCTCTCCAGTTCATACCCACCCTCTAGGACAGAGCAGCAGGGCTGTGAATCTTTCCAGGAGCACACTGCCACATCTTTCTCCTGAACACACTTCCAGAGTCCGTACAACAGAGTCATTCAGACAACAAATGGTAGCAAATATCCTAACCTCGCCATAAGCATGACAAAAGTACTCCTTCTCTCAGAATTACTACAGTGATAAAATGATTGAGGAAAGTGAGTCGGGGTAGGGTGGGGTGGGGGGTTGGGGTGACATGTCCAGCAAAGAACATAAAAATAAAAACAGAAACATCAACACTAGGGGACCTCACAAAGTGTGTGAGAAAATCCTGTATCTCTTCATTCTATTCTCCACAGACTTTTTGATGCCCTCGTACAAACCTACAAAGTTAAGAGTTAGGCTTAGGTGTTTTATTTCTATGCCTCCTTCTCCACCACAGAATGCTCAAACTGGTTTTAAACACGAAGGTAGGGCTAGGGCTAGCCTTGAATAACTCTCCCTCTTTTCCATCAGATCGTTTTTCACTGACTCTTTAAACCAGGCGTCCTCAAACTACGGCCCGGGCCACATGCGGCCCACAGAGGACAT